CTCAAGCCGACTCTCTGGTTCTTCTGGTTCCTCTCGGCGACGCCCAATGCGTGCGCCGGCGTGGGGAGTGTGCGTGCGCGCGCGTGTGTGAGATGAGGATTGTGGCAGGCTGGCTGCTGCTGATGTGGGCAAGCGTGCTCTGTGTGCGGCGCTGCGCTGGCGTGCGATGCGCGCGTGCTATGCGCGTGTGCGTGTTGGAATCGCGCGTGCGTCTGCGTGTGCTGCGCGCGCGCCGGCGTGTGCTGTGCGCTGTGCTCTGTTGTGCGCCTGTTTGTGCAGCTGGGAGGCGCAGCTTTGGCTGGCAGGGCTGCGCGGTGGGCTGCGGCGTGCTGCGGGTGGTCGCGCGCCTGCCTGATGGTGTACGGCGGCCGCGCAGCCCGCCCGACCGGGTCGTCGGCGGCCCAGGGCGCGAGCATGCGGTCGGCGCTGCATGTGAGGCTGCTGCGCGGCTGGCGCGTATGTTTCCGTGTCAGAGAGAGAGAGAGAGAGCGAGAGAGCGAGAGAGCGAGAGAGAGGCCACCGGTCGCCTCTCGGATTGGCGCCACGTCCGTGTACGTGAACTGCGACGAGAGGCCCTTTGCCATCGCAAGCCGCGCCTCGAGCCGGAGGGCGGCGCATTCGGCGGGAGCGAGGACCGCCTCGTTGCTAATATGCACGCTGGAGGCGCCGTCGCCGAGAGCGGCGGAATTGGGACCGACGAAGCGAGCACCGACGTGGTGGCTGCTGAAGGCCACCTCTCGGCGCGACGACGCAGTACGGTGGCTGAGGAAGGCTGCGGCGGTGCCCGAGGCGAGCTCTGCAGCGTGCGCGGCCTCCGCCTCGGCGAGAATGTGCGTGGCCGCCGCCGGTGCTCCATAATCAAGACGCTCCTTGATACACCCGGTGCTGGCGTGCAGGCTCGGGATGGCGGATACGCAGAGGAGGAGCATCGGCAGAGAGAGATAGGCTCGGAGCGAGTTCGCGCTGCGCTAGGCTCAAGAAATCATGAGCTGATGCGGTCCTGAAGGCTGATCTCCGCGCCGTGCTGCAGCAGCGCCTCGGCCACCTGCACGTGGTCATTGACGGCGGCGCCATCAGCGCCGTGCCGCTTGCGCGTCCGGCTTCGCGCCCCGACCAGCAAAAGTTCGACCAGCTTCAGCAAAAGTTCGACCAGCTGCTTGTGACCGTTCATTCATGGTGGCGATCAGCAGTAGCGTCCAGCCACTCAAGCTGCCGCACGCACCTCGGTGTCAACCAGCCCATCCCCTGCACCACGATTGCTTGCTGTTTGTTTTACGCTTTATGTGCGCGCAGGCCTCCGGGCACGAAACTGGTACCCCGAGAGTTTACAAACGCTCTCTCGTATGACCCCCCCTTGCCCTCCCTCCCTCCCTCCCTCCCCTTCGCCGCCCCCCAAAAGAAAAGGGTTCTCCTCGCGGCATCAGTCAGCCAAGTCGGGCTCGATCCGGTAGCCAACCACTGACTGCAAGGACATTCAGTTGTAGCCGTGACCAAATCCCGATTCGTCGTCGGCTTTGTCCTTGTACAGCTTTACCAGTCAGCAGAGGAAACGCTCCTCCGCGCGGTCGAACTGGCACTCTTGGAAAGTCTGAGCAGCAGCATACCGCTTTACCGGGTAATAAGGTTCCGATTTTTCATGGCATTGAACGACGCATGTCCGATCGTCGTCCTTTTCGGGGGCGGCCGTGTACGTAAGAGCTACATACACTGAAAAAGGGACAGGTCCCCGCCCGTGCGATCTTTGTGCAGGGTTCTTTGTGTGGGTGTGGTCGGCGACTTCTCTAGCCGGCGTCGACGTCCTCCCGATGGGGACTAGCTTTGTCCCTCCCCAGGACGCGCAGCGGCCTCTGCGCTCTGGAAGGCACCGAGAGGGACAAAATGGCGCAAATGGTCAAATCAAGGTTTTGTAACGCGATATGTGCCACAGTGAAATGGCACTAGCCCAAGCCCCATTTGGACGAATCGGACTGGCACTCAAAAGTTAAGATCAGTCAAGATGTGTGTCTTCTGTGTGTCAAATACGAAACATATTCAAAGGCATACACTGGTTGCCATACGTGTAGCGCATGCGACCGCTGATCTCGTGGCCGTCGCCGCTATGCTTCCTCGCAAAGAATTCCTCCGAGAGATAGGTGTAGTGCCCCACACGGCTCTGTTCATGCTTCTGCTGCGAGTACTCCTTGATCTTGCGCATTGTGAGCGCGACGGCCGCCTCGGTGAATCGGTAGTGCGCGAAGGCCCAGCGAAGGTAGCGCAGCTTCAGGCCTTTGAAGAGGGCGGCAGACGAATGGAAACGGACGCGCTTGCCGTCCGCGTCGCGCGCTGGCAGCAGCATCCACTTGTCCTCGTTCTCCTTCCACGCGCAAAAGGTGAAGCGGCAGCGGCGCGGGTACTGTGCGCTCAGCGGGCGCGTGCCGATGGGCGTGACGGCTGGCATGGACCAGTCCTCCGCGACGCGGTCAAACATCATGCCGAGCACGGCGAGACCTCGCGGGTCACGCGCCAACTCGCCCAGCAACTCGCACGGGAAGGAGAAGAACTCGTCAGAGTCGACCCGCATGATATACGCGTTGGCGGGCACCTTGCGAAAGTAGTCATTGGCGAGGTCGGTCTTGATCGAGGAGGACCACGTGTCGATGAATATTCTCGGCCTCGTGACCCCGTGGAGACGGAGGGCGGCAAGGGTCTGGTTGAGCCCGCGGCTTCCGTCGCAACGCGGTGCATGGAGGACGATCCGCGCGATCGTGAGGTTGACGCCAAGACTCGCATAGTGCTGCAGCCAGTGCGGCAGCAGTGGATCGATTGCGCTCTGCACGACGGCGAGCATGGCGAAGAGATGCGTCGACTCGGCCACGGCATCCGGCAAGCGCCTCAGCTCGCAGCCCTGAGCATGGCGCCAACTGGGCTTCGCGCAGGAGCCGACGCGAAGCGGCCATTGGCAGCCGCGGGATCTTATTGTGACGGGGCACGGGCCGTTTGTGTGGTTGACCCGTTTTGTGTGGATGCTTGGCGCGGGTGCAAAGCTGTCAAACATTGTGCTCGGCGTGCTTTCAGTCGCCGAGACCTTGAGGCGAAAAGAATTTTACCACGCGAAGCTGGTGTGCTTCTTAGCCCCCCGGCCAGGGTGGGCGACGGCTAGCGCATCACACCCTCCTCTCCTTAAAATCCCTGTGTGGTGGCGGCGTGCCGTTCTCCCATCCCTCCCTTGGGTTGTGTGTTTTCTTTCTTTCTTTCTTTCTTAGCAATGGTTGGGTAGTAGGGCTAGAGGGTCGCTCTACACTTAGCCTCTGCAGCGAGCGAGCGCTCAACTTAGCCCCCGCACGGAGCCGGGCTCAGACTTAGACGCTGGAAGGCCGGGGGCCATGAACTTAGACGACACGAGGCCAACTCCGGGTAAAACCCGGGTATACCTGCAAAAGTCCAGGTTTACCCGAAAAATACCTGGACGCGGTCCCGACTAGCGTATGCCGCGCACGACGCCATATCGTGCTTCAAGATCGTGGCGGTGCTTGGCATGCACTTCTGCGATCCCAATCAGCTCATCGCAACGAAGCAGCGCAACAAGCTGGCTGCTGCCAACAAGGCCCTATGCTACCTCACGCGCGGATCGTTCAAAGAGGACCAGCATACACAGGCTTCTCTGACATGCGTTTGTTTGAGCTTGAGGCTATTTGTGAGAACTATTTGGCTAGATGTCGCCGAAGTGCGCTCAAGAAGCAGCAACGAGAATCGGAAGAGGAGGATGCTGAGGCGGCGATTGCTGAGCATGAGGAGGATCGATCGCCCGCCGCGCAGGCGAAGAAAATTTGGGCGCGAGCGCCGTATATCGCGTGCCATGGCCGACTTAGCCGGTGTAAGAGGCTCCCGCTGATCTTAGACCGCGTAAGCACTCCAGCGTGGCTAGCCACACTTAGACCCGTTAAGCCGCGAGGCTCAGAACTTAGACTACTACCCAACCAGTTTCTTAGCCCCCCGGCCCTGGATGTGCGATTGATGACTGCACTCCAAGTGCTCCAAGAAGCTAGCAAGGCTCGGGGAGACCGCACTTATCTCGCAGCTTGTACAGCTGCAGCTCTTTGTCAGACTGGTTGGTGACGGTCACATCCGGGCTCGCGAGGCAGCGTCTCGATCGCCTCGTCCACACTCCGCCCCGCCCACATGCGGACAAGCTCAACAGCCAGCGCCTCTGTGGCCTGATGGATGGGCACCACGCGGCAGCGGCGCCGCTCGGCTGGGGCAGGGCGGAGTCCCTCGTCGCACGCCTCCGCTCCGCATACTACACCATGCCTCGAACTGGGTCCTGTGGAGAAAACCGGCAAGGTCTGAGTCCGGTGCATGGATCTGCTGGAGCGACAAGCAGAAACACAGGCACCAACGACAGCTCCTGCAGGATGAGGACCGACGAGCCGAGATAGAGGAGATTGACGTTCATCAGCATCCGCCTGAAGTCCACTTTCTCAATGGGCGTCTTGTCCTCTCCTTGCGGCATGCACCTGCGCAAGAGGAGAGCAAGAGCGAGTTGGGTTGCTACTTGGCAAGAAGACAAACAAATGCAGAGGGAGAGGCACCAGTAGTCGTACCAAACGCACTCGATCGAGGGACAAGCCTGGAGATGCTCGCGGACCGCCCTCACGTGGATGCTGCTCGCGTCGGGCGCGTCGGGCTGCTCCCAGCGATGGCTGACGGCGAGGATGTTGTCGCGGTACTCGTGGCGACCGTACGCGAGGTGCCGCCGCAGCAGCCGCTTGCACACCCACTCCGGATGCCTCTCCTCGATCTCCTGCAGCCGTGGCAGAGTGCTGTATCCGGCAGCCTCGTAGAGGCCGGAGCGAATGACGTCGGCCTTGATGAAGACGAAGGTGCATTGCGCGCCCGACATCTCGAGCGCGGCATCTTCAAGCGCCTGCCTCGCCTCGGCTTGCAGATCCGCCTCCTCCCGAAAGTCCGCGATGACGACCTCTAGTTGCCTCCGTCGCCGCCGCAGCCACAAGCAGACAATGCAGGAGCTGAAGAACAGTACACTGAGTCCCAACGCCAATCCCACGGCGAGGGCCTGACGTTCACGTCCTTCGGACCAGCGGTGACGTCCTCGTCCTGGCACAGGGCGCCGCTAAACCCCGGAAGGCAATCGCAGCCGCCGTCGACGAGGCATTTGCCGTTTCCGTTGCCGCCCGAGCAGTTCCTCTCGTTCAGGCAGTGGCGCAGCTTCCACAGCGGCGTTGGGAAGGAGACGTTCTCTCTCTCCTTTGCGTCGAAGACAACCTAGAGGAAAACGAAGCGTCAACGAGGGGGTGGTATGTCGGGCGATGGGCGGTGCTATAACAGCTCGTAGTCAGCCTGCCAGTACCCGGCTGCCGCCGCGCCAGGCGGGTACTGCACGACAGGGAAGTCCATCCCCTCCATCTGCCCGTCGGCGTTGAAGGAGATGTTGCTGGTGAAGAACTCGACGAGCGACGTGCTGCGGAGCACGCTCGCCACGGCGGCCGTCTCGAGCGAGCCCGCCCGCTCGATGGCGTCGCCCAAGGTGCAGAGCGCCTATCGTTGACGTGTCATTGTCATCCTCACCACAATGCCGTTGTTGCTCGATGGCGTCGCCCAGTAGTGTGCAGAGCGCCGCGAAGGTCGCGGCTCCGATGTAGTCGACCTTGGCCGGGTACACTGTGCGGCCGCCGAACGCCTTCAAGTACTCCTCCTCGTATTTCGCGCTGTCCCAACCGGAGAAATTGCCAATGTCGCTCGGCATCGACGCGTCCCACGGCACCGCCTCGAGCGCGTACTCGCCCTGCCACCAGCCGCCCCTCATCCTGTGGACGTACTCGTCGTTGACGATCGTCATGGTCCGGATGGTGGCGAGCGGCGAGTAGTCCTCCTCCTCCTCCTCCAGGCCGAGCCGCTCCAGCTCCTCCACCTACAGCCTCGATGCATCTCGCGTGATCTCGCGCAATCTCCGAGGCCGAGCCGCTGCCGGCCGCGTCCGCAGGAGCCGTCAGGATCCGCACCTTGGCATCCCCCCACTCTCGCTGGGCGCTGCCGCAGACCGCCCTCGGAAAGGTGTCCTCCTCCTCGACGTACCTGCGGGACACACGTCGCGGTTTCATGGAAAGGGCCGCGAGGCGTCGCCGCCTCCTCCCTTCTCTGCGAACCCGACTCGGAGGGCGCCCAGGCAGGAAGCTACGCCGGCGCGGCGCACGCACTCCTTCTGGCAGTCGCACTCCCCGCCAGCATCGCAGCCAGTGTCGCAGTCCTCGGCAGCCTTCAACACCGCCTCGAAGCCGCGCCTGTACGACGATACCTCGGCTGTATCTCGGCTGCATCTCGGCTGCGTCTCGGCTGCGTCTCCAGCGAGAGCCGCGCCTCGCCCAGTTCTCGCTGCCAGGCAGCATCCCAAACACGCGCAGCCCGAGGCCGTTCTCTTGCGCCAGCGCGGCGGCCGAAGAGTAGACGGCGTGATCGGACGACGCTGGAGCGATCATCAGCTTGCTGTCCAGCACCGCCTGCTTGCTCGCGTAGGTGGTCAGCCCCGAGCCATACGGGCCGAGCAGGAAGTCTGCCGACGACATGCCGCCCGCCTCGGAGTGCACGAGGCGCGAGGTGGCGTTGGCGACCTGCAGCTGGCTACTGCCGTCTCCGATAAATACGCACTTAACATCGGCAACCTGAGTCGCGTTGACTTTGATCCCGCCGCGGCCCACCAGCATCTGCGAGAAGAGATCGCAGTTGCGCCGCACTTGCACCGAGATGGAAGAGAACTGGTCTTCGGGATCGAGCGACGCTGGGGCGCCAACAATGATCATGCCAGCGTCAGATTCGCAAAGCCGATCGGCGTCTGTTGTGTAGGCCAACTGCGGAGTGCCCACTGGCAGCGTCGGCATAGTTTGGGTCGTGACATTCGTCCAGCAATAGTTTGGGTCGCACTGCGCCCATGAGAAGCCGCCAGAATTCCTTGTCACCGAGATGAATCGCACGTCCTGTTTCCGCGCAACCCTCCAGATCCGGAGATGCAGCCACAGACATTGCAGCAGCTAGGATCGAGAGCGCGGGGGCCATCGAAGCCGGTGCGGTGCGAGAATGCCGGCGGGCGCTTTGAGCAAGTGCCGCGGCTGGCGCAGGCTCGTGCATGGCGTCCGCCGCCCGCGAGCGCGCCCGCACCGCCGGCGAGGACAGCGAATCGGACGGCGGGGCTGTGGCGGTCGCGGATGGCTTCGAGGCGCCCCTCTTTGGCTTGCGCGTCGTCGGCCAGGTCACCACGCTGCCGCTCAAGGACGAGGACACCTTCTGGCATCGATCAAACCACTCTGCGTCGCAAGCGATCACGCGGGCGCCTGGTACGTCACCACTGTTGACCAGTGCTGCACGTTTCCACGGCCGGGCGCGTGCGCAGCGTGGCAACCTTGGACGCTGACCTCCGCGGCATCGCCATCAGTTGCTGGCAGCGCGCCGTTTGTTGCTGACTTTGACGGCAACAAGATCCTACAGGTGGAGGCAGCGAATGGAGCATTGATTACGCTTGCGGGCAGCGGCACTAGCGGCAGCGCTGATGGCGTGGCCGGCGCGGCGCAGTTTAGTCGCCCACGCGGCGTCGCCATCAGCCCGGAGGCAGCGCGCTCTTTGTGGCGGACCTTTACAACCACAAGATCCGGCGAGTAGAGGCGGCGACGGGCGCGGTGACGACGCTCGCAGGCAGCGGCACTGGTGGCAACGCTGATGGCGTGGGCGGCGCGGCGCAGTTCTACCACCCATGCGGCGTCGCCATCAGCCCGGACGGCAGCGCGCTGTTTGTGGCGGACTTCCGCGGTTTCAAGATCCTGCGGGTGGAGATGTCGACGGGCGCTGTGACCGCGGTGGCGGGCAGCGGCACTAGCGGCAGTGCTGATGGCGTGGGTGGCGCGGCGCAGTTCCACCACCCATGCGACATCGTCATCACGCCGATGGCAGCGCTCTTCTGGTTTGCACGGAGGACTCCCTCCGCCAGGTCTGCGTGTCGGCGCCTCCTCCGCCTCCCTCCTTCGCGCCGATTGTGGTGCCGCCCTCGACCCTCGTGGCAGACCTCGGAAAGACGTGGGGCGACGCCACTCTCCCCATTGGCCTGGTCACCTTCCTGGTCGGCGATGACGAACAGCGCCTCAGCGTGTGCAAGTGCAACCTCTGCGCCCGGTCCATTTTCTTTCGGACCATGTTCGGCATCGGCATGAAGGAGCGCGATTTCGCCGAGGTCACGGTGTCCAATACCGACCTCGCCACCTTCATCCCCCTCGTCTGCTACCTCCTCACCGACCAGCTCGACCTCGGCGAGGAGAAGGGCGGCAGAGCGCAGCGCGCGCTCGGCCTGCGGCAGCTGGCGCAGATGTACCAGGTGCCGCGCCTCGAGCTGCTCTGCGCGCAGGCGCTGCAGGAGAGCGTCGGGCCGGCGAGCGCCGTGCCGCTGCTCGAGGCGGCGCACGCGACGGGCGACGGGCGGCACTGCGGCTACGTGGCGGACAACGCCGCCGAGGTTCGGGCGAGCGGCGGCGTGGAGCAGCTGCGCGACCTTGGCGTGGCCAAGGGGCTGCTCGGCGACGCGCTCGACCAGGTGGCGGAGCTCAAGGGGACGGTGGCGGCGCGCGAGGGGAGCCGCACGCAGGGCTGAGGTGCGGTTTTCATCACACTCCTTGTGGCCGCCCGCAGCGGCACGCGAAGCCCCGAGCGAGGGGCCCCCCTCGCCCCCGCGCCCTCCCCCCAGCCCCTCCCCCCCCTCCGGACGTTGACGGTTGAGATGTGACGCTGAACGGGCCTGGTTTGTTTTGAGATTATGTGAGTACGAGTGATATAAAAATCATTCATTGTTACAAAGTGGCGGAGCCAGTAGTGACGCGGAAGCACACAATGATCAATCGTCAAACCCCACCCCACGCCTCCGCTGTCCGCTCCCGCTCATACGACAGGCCGGTGTGCGAGTCAGAGAGCGTCTCAAGCGAGATGAGCAAATCGAGCCTTCAAACGAAGAGCGGTCGCGCTCGCTGCGATAGAGGAGCAGCCAGGTCTTTAGCCGACCTCACAGCGTGGCGGAGAGCGGCACGTCCACCGAGAGCATCAGAATCATGCGGTGCAGCTGCGAGTGGTCGGCCTCGGCCGACAGCGCCGACGCCTGCCGGAACCACATCGCGGCGTCCGCCTCGCTCGAGAGCGGCGAGAGGCCTGCTCGGCGCGGGGAGAGGGCGTGAGGGGCCGCCGCCGCACCCGCCCCACTCGGAAGTGTACCGAGGCAGAGCTCTGAGTGAGCTCTCCCGCCAATCTCGGGTGAGGCCGACCTCGCTTGATCATCCTCTCCGCCACTGACTCTCCGCCACTCTCTCTGCCACCCCGGCTACTCTCTCGGCTACGTCTCACCGAGCGCGAGGCAGAGCTTGGCGAGGAAGGAGGGTGCGGCGAGCTCCATGCTCCCCTCCTCCATTGACCCCGTCGCGCGCGTCGCTGGCGGCGAGGCGCCCGCCGCCAGCCCGCCGCCGCCGCCGCTCCCGCACTGCGCCCCTGGGGACAGAAGGAAGAGATGTCGCCCCACACAGAGAGGTGCGAGGGCGAGCGACCCCTCGCATCTCCGCGTGCGAGACAGGCGGGAGCCTCCGTCCAGAGGGCCAGGAACGTGTCCCCGGGGGAAGGGGGCGGGGGCGGAGGAGACCTGCTGCGTCTGGAGGCGGTGCGAAGAGCGCGCCCGCCACCTGCCTGCTGGCGACGGGCGACGTCTCGACGAAGGCCTCGACCGCCTACCGCGCACCGCCCACGCCTCGCAAGTGCCTCGCAAGTGCCTCGCAAGTGCCTCGCAAGTGTCTCGAGAGGCGGCCCGCCTCGTGCAGCGCCGCGAGGCTGGAGCGCAGCACAGACATGGACGGGCGAGAGCGCGCCGCGCCGCCCCGCGCGCCGCCGACGCTCATCCGGCCGCCTCCGAGGCCGCCGCCGCCGAGCGCGGCCGGCATCATCCCTCCCGCGCCGCCTCCGCCTCCCCCCGATCCGGCGCGGCAGTTGCCGCTCGCGCAGAGGCCCATCGCGATCAGGGCGCACGCGTAGCCGAGGAGGCGCTCCGCGCACTCGGGCAGCAGCGCGGCCGCCTGCGTCGCGAGCGGGAGCCGCGACTCGACGGCGGTCACCTGTGCGCACCGCACCGCTCCGTGAAGAGAGACGCCCTTCACGCCGCGGCGCGCGGTCCTCGGGCGGACAGGCACCGAGAGTGCCTCTGCCGCCGCCTGGCTGCCCGACTCCGCCGCGGACTCGAGCTGGGCAAAGAAGAGCATCGCGTACGCGCTCAGGCCGTGCCGCAGCTCCGCCTCGCACTGCAGCCACCTGCTCGCGCCCGACACTGTGAGGAGGCGCCGTTCACGCCGCCGCGACGCCGGCCTCGCGCCACGCGCACCCGCCCGCCGCGATGACCACGGACGCGCGGTCCGTCGGCCGCATGTCGCCTGTTCACGCACGCCAAGAGTGGTGAAGAGACGCCCCCTGCACAATCGCGGCTCGGATGGCCTCGTCTCGCCCAGCGATGAGGACCCGGCCCATCTCGGCCCATCTCGGCCCATCTCGGCCCATCTCGGCCCATCTCGGCCCATCTCGGCCCATCTCGGCCCATCTCGGCCCATCTCGGCTCATCGGCTCATCTCGGCCCATCTCGGCCCGTCTCGGCTCATCTCGGCTCATCTCGCCCAGCGAGGCGGAGTCGCCCGGCCGGCGGGCGCCGTCACACGCGCGGTAGCTCTGGTCGGCCGGGTCCGTCGAGCGAGATGACGGCTTGTGGTACGCGTCGGGAGCGCGGCCTCGCGCCTCGCGACCCTGCGCCTCGCGCGGCACGGGGGAGGGACAGCCCGCCCGCACCGGCGGCGGTGACCTCGTCGCCGACCCCCGCTTGCTGGGAGGGGCTGCCTGCGACTGGCGCGCGCCGCCCGACTTGCGGCGGCCGCCCCCGAGCAGGCGGCGCCCTTGCACGAGGAGGGCCCCGAGGGTGCTCGCGCGCTTGGCGCGGGTCCGCCTGCTGAGGTCGGAGGTGTGATGGTGGTGTGATGGTGTGATGGAGAGGGGGGGGGGGGAGTGATGAAGGTGCCTGCCGAGGTCGGAGCCGCGCTCGAGCCCCTCGTCGAAGGCGAGGCCGAGGGTGACGGTCGCCTGGTGCGGTGCATTCATGGAGGAGGAGGATGTAATGAATGAACCACTCACTCAGGCCGAGGGGGACGGCTGGCAGTCGCCTCCGCGCGGTTGCCGAGAGCGAGCAGCGCCTCGCCGCGAAGCACCAGCCAGCGGGTTGCCGAGCCGGGAGGGAGAGGGGCGAGGGCGCCGCCGTGCTGCCGGAGGAGCATGCTGGCCTGCGACAACAGCAAGAAGAAGACTGAGAAGAAGAAGAAGCAGACGAACGAACGTCAGTCTGCTGCCCAAGGAGCATGCTGGCCTGCGTCGTCACCGAGACGGCCTCCTCCCAAGACGCACACGAGAGCGCCTGCCGAGAGAGGTCGAGGGGAGGTCGAGGGGAGCTCGAGGGGGAGCTGTCTCCTCCCAGAACAAGATACGAGCCGGGTGCGAGGTACGAGGTGCAGCCGAGGTGCGGCCGAGGTGCAGCCGAGGTGCGGCCGAGGTGCGGCCGAGGTGCAGCCGAGGTGCGGCCGAGGTGCAGCCGAGGTGCAGCCGAGGTGCAGCCGAGGTGCAGCCGAGGTGCGGCCGAGGTGCGGCCGAGGTGCGGCCGAGGTGCAGCCGAGGTGCAGCCGAGGTGCAGCCGAGATGATACAGCCGAGGCATGCCTGCTCGGCCGCGTCCGCAGCGAGGAGCATCACCTGCCCCCAGTTCTCGGCCGTCTTGTAGTGCTTCAGCGCGGACAGGAACGCCGCCTCCTTTGCGTCGCCGCGAGCGGCCTCGGCGACGATCCCGCGCGCCGTCGCCTGCCAGAAGGCTCGGCTGTGAAGAGACGCCGTGACACCGCTGCCCGGGGGGGCGGCGCGGCGCGGCCTCGTGCACGCGCTTGCGCTTCTCGAAAGGGAGGTTCGAGTAGAGCACGTCGCGCAGCATGGCGGAACGGAAGGAGTACCTGCGGACGTGTCGCGGGCATGTCATGGACACGTCCTGGACGCGTCCTGGACATGCCGCGCGGCATGGCGGAGGGGAGAGGGCACGTCTTCGAGTCGAGCGCGAACTCGAGGTAGCGGTAGCCGCGCAGCTTGCGCAAGCACTCGTCGAGACGCGAGCCTAATGACCTCGGCGACTCTCGCGCCCTCTCGCGCCCTCTCGCGTAGCGGGAGGGCTGGGGCGCGCGTCGAGGCGCGGGCCTTCTGGCTTCATGTCGAGCTGCCGGTGCACGTCACGCAGCGCCTGTTGATTATGTGAGGGAGGAGTGAACGATTGGGCTTCATGTCGAGCTGCCGGCGCACGTCACGCAGCGCCTTGGAAGAGAGGGCGTCGCCCATCGCCGACGCCGTCTGCAGCACCGTCTGCATCTCGTGCGGCAGCGAGTCGACCTACTCCGCAATCTCGTGCAATCTCGTGTGATCTCGTGTGATCTCTGCATCTCGTGCGGCAGCGAATCGACCTACTCCCGGCTCCTCCCGCCTCTCCGCTCGCCTCTCCGCTCGCCTCTCCGCTCGCCTCTCCTCTCGCCTCTCCTCTCGGGGCTCGGAGCGGCAGCTAGTCCACCCCTGCGCAATCTCGTGCAATCTCGTGTCATCTCGTGTCATCTCGACACCTGCGCCGTGAGCAGCCGCTGCAGCGTGTGCGACTGGCCTGCGACCGAGTCGGCCGACCCAAAGGCAGACTCGAGCGAGGAGAGGGAGGCGCCCTTGGCGAGCATCACCGTCCCCCTCCGCCGCCCTCCCCCCGCCGACGCCGCGAGCGGCTTTGCGGAGCGGAACGAGTCCACCCGCTCGTGGAGGAGCTCTTGCACGCTGTCGGCCTCCTCCGCCTCTGGCACGAGGGAGCCTACTCCCTCATCAGTCAACGAGTGAAGCACTCCGCCCGTGGGGGTCGGCCTCCTCCGCCGCACGGGGGGGGGCGGGGGCCGTCGGGGCCGATCCGCGCCGCGACGACGAGCCGCTGGTGGAGGAGGAAGCACATGATCTCCTCGCAGTAGAGCGGGTTGCCTAGGAAGTGTCTCGGGAGTGTCTGGGGAGTGTCTAGGAAGGACATGCTCTCCTCGCAGTAGAGCGGGCTGCCCTCGCTCTTGCGGAGCAGGAAGGCGGCGATTTCCTGCGGTAGGGACTCGACCCCAAGCATCTCCTCGGCCATGAACTGTGGGGGTGGGGGGGGTTAAATCTCGGGTGATATCGGGTAATCTCGGCCATGAACTGGTGGGTGGGTGGGGGGTGGAATCGCCTGGTCGCGTTAAAGAGATGAGGAGAAGAGTGCGAGGCGAGGGGAGGAGAGGCGAGGGGAGGAGAGGAGAGGAGCGGAGAGCAGCGGAGGGGAGGGGAGAGGAGAGGAGAGGAGAGGCGGGGCGGGGAGAGGAGAGGAGGGGAGAGGCGAGGGGAGAGGCGGATGGCTGCTTGGCGGTCGGCGGGTATTCTCGGGTAATCTCGGTTGATCTCGGCTGATCTCGGCTGATCTCGGCCCAATCTCGCCTGCAGGTCGGCGGGCTGCAGCGGGCCGAGCCGCATCCGCTCTTCCTCCTCGAGCGTGGTGAGAACG